CCCGGGCAGGGACGGTGCCCTGCGGAGCGGCGCTCCCTGCGGGCCGCACCGGCCCGGGCCCGGTACCGCCGCGGATACGGGTACCGGTATTGATACTGGTACCGGTATTGATACCGGTACTGGTGCTGCTGTGACTGTTGGTGTTGCTGTCGTTATTTAGCGTGCTGGGGATGCTGCATTTCRCCGCGCGAAGGGCAGGCTGCAGGGCTAAAGGAGCAGTGTGTCTTTTATATAATGAGTTTTCTGTTAAGTACTCGGTAGCTGCTTTATTTTTTTCTTTCTTTTTTGGAAAAGTATGCATAAAAATTCTACCAGGATGCCTCAGAGCTACTTATTGAAAAGAAAATTTGCTTACTTATCTACATAAGCAAATTGGGAGGTATAAGGAAAGGATTGTTCTTTGCCTCTAAAGGGGTCATTTCTGTATGTGCCATCCATATTTTTCTAAAGCCAGTTAAAAATAGTTAATTGAAATGATGGAAGCGGTGATGGGGTTCCCACTAGGTGAGCGGAGGCCGGGGGTGAAGGGCTTCCCGGGAGTCCGCCCGGCTCCACGGGGCCTGGGGCCCTTTCCCTGTTTTCCTGCGGAGCCGCTCGAAGCCGGGGCCCGCACGCCCGTTTGGGCTCAGCCCCCCTCGCGGGACAGCGCCCTGCGGAGCTGGTTCCGTGCGGGAAGGAGCCRTGCGCTGCCCAGCCGCTCCCATCGCTTGGCTCGTCTGTGACCCACGAACCCCCTGCGTGGGGCACCCCATACCTCACACCCCAGCCCGTGCACCCCGTAAAGGAATTGCCTCTCGTCTCCCGTGTAGCAGGGMCACGAGAAGCGCCCGCGAGGGCCCGGCTTGCACGCTGTGTTTCTGTGTATCCCGCGCTGCTGTCAACGCGGAGCACGTGCTGWCTGGAGCGACTAGCGCCCCAGGAGAGCTTTCTTCCCAGCGTTGTTAGCAAGGGAATAACGGTGCCGATTGGATTGTGCCACAGCAGGTGTTGCTGCGGTGTCTCTCATGTTACCTTCGGTTTAGAGCTGAGGAAGGGTTTCTTTCTTYGGGGTGTTGAAGTTTGTGGCAGAACTGTGAGCCAGGTTGGGGTTWAGGCCGTGCTTGAAGGCCACAGGAACAGGATGCAGCTCATGCTTTTAGGTCCCGTGGAGAAAACAGTTTTCGAAATATTAGAACAGCTTTAAAGCTTGCAGATTTCTAGGAAATAAATGTGTGCTCTCTTTCTATAGAAAAAAAAAAATCCTTACCTCATTGGAGCGTTGCTCTTCAAAAAGCTATTATTAAGTCTTTGTTTCAGCGACCTACCTAAAGTAAGCGCCAGTGACACTTCTCTAGACCCTCTTTAGCTGCACAGGTCGTTCGTGCTGCCCTACTGACCTGCAGGGGCTCGGGAGCAGGGTAGCGAACCTTGCGGTCCCCTGCCTGCGACAACGGGCTGCTGTGCCACCGCTGCCCTGGGCGCGCATGGCAGCTCCCTTTATCGATGTCCGTCAGCGACAGAGCAGGTTRCACCTCGTTTTTATAGGGCCCAGGCTGCCCTCCAGCTTCCCTCCTGCCTGCGGCTGCAGGGCCTCTCCCTGGGTGGGAAGGGACACGGGTGGCTCTGGTTGTGCCGTGGCTGCTCCGACCTCCTCCAGCTGCCCTCAGTGTTTGGCCAGGCTGCAGCTCTCCTGCTCTGATCAGGCCAGCRAGAAATAAATTCCCCTCTGTTGCTGATGAGAATAATATTTGTTGTTGTTTGTACTTGGCTGGCCTTGCATACGCCAAAATTGGAGGGACCGGCATCTCCGTGGAGCCATCTGTCCGTGTGTTATCTTTCTGTAGGCTTTCTTGAGGAAACCATTTCTTGTTTTTCTTTTCAACTGCTGTTAGAAAAGCTGTACTGAAGAGTAAAGTTCTGGAGGAGGAGTATCCATCTTGCTCTTGTTTTCGCAAATTCCGCAGCTCTTAAAGCATCAAAAGCAACTTTGTTTCTGAAGGAGCTATTCTGATTGTAATTCAGCCATATCCCCTCTGCTTTTTTTGCAGTAGAAGCTACAGCAACCCTGAAACTGAAGGACAGCTTCTGAATTCCTTTGCCCAGTATTTTGGTGACAGCCTTGGGAGCAAGACTAAAAGAATGCCTTTGATAGAAGAAACTGTCCTGCCTGGGGACCCTCTGCTCACTCTGCCTGTAGTAATAATAGGTAAGGGTTTTTTTTTTTCCCTATTTTGTTTTTTTTTAATTATATTTTTTTTTTGATTCTCTGGGACTGTGGATGCCTTTGCAGACCTGCTGTACACAGTTACTTATAATTAAATAATTGCCACAGCAAGTAACTTCCAGATTGATGCAGCTCTTGTGGCAAACAGTTGTGCCATTAAATTATGTTCAAAGACTTGCTGCTGAAGTGTGTTTGGATCAAAGTTGTGGTTTGATGAAGTTGAAYTGCATTTGACAACAAATAATGAGTATTAACAGAACTGTTTTGACTGTAGCATTGGCATACAGGACTGGATTTGCTCTTGCATCTGCATCAGGTCGCACAGAAACTGTTGGTGCTGCACTGGTACAAATTTGTGTGGTCAATTGGGACGGCTGAGAGCATACAGTAAAACGTGTTGTATGCTGCTTAGATGCAAAACTTCCTCATTAATTGCCTTTTTCTTTCTGTTGCATCCATTGCTGTTATGTAAATACTGTTTGTCTGTACCAAAATGAATCTATGTCAAATCAGCCAGTTCCAATTATGAAACTGTAGTCTCGGTTAAATAGTTGAGGCCTCGTTGTTGTGCACAACGACAACAACAAGGCGAGGGACGGGAGGARGAACAGGCTCCTTGGGTGGAGAGCTTTGGGCCAGCGTGCCAGGGTGCTCTGTGTTTGGCCGGGATGCCTCAGGAGCAGCAGGTCGCCAGCAACGCCTTGCCAGGACTTGGTGAGAGGATAAAGGAAAGGCCTTGAGGAAGGGAGGCCTTCACTGAGTTATTTGGGCTGCAGCATGCAGGCAGAGAGATATTCAGAGAACGATGTTTGCGTGTAACATGCTCCGAGGAAACCTACACGGCTCTGAGATAGCAGCGTGTGCGCAGTGCCTGTTCCCAAAGCTCTGCCCWGCGAGAGCTCAAAGCAGCGCTCGTGCCGTACACTGATGGGCATGTGGCAGACATGAGTCACTGGGTGAGATCTGCCTCCTAGTTGAGCAGCAGCAGTTTCCTGGCGTTGGCTCAACSTTGGTGTAGGTTTGCCATATGGTTAATGACTCAGTTTTCACTGTTTAATGTTGTAAATATGCATTATGCAAATACCTGTGCTCAGGGCTTGCTTTGTCTAGAACTCCTTTCTAGTGCTCACACCGACCACAACTACCTCGACTGACTCCAGTGGCAAACAAATATGTTACCCAAATTGTCTGAATGCCTTTTTTTTTCCTCACATATATTAGGAAAAACATCTCCAGTTGATTTTCTCCATTGATAGCCCTATTATCTCCAATTCATGGGTAGATGAAACAGCCTTAGAAAGGCTCTAAAATGATATAAAACTACAGCAGAGCACAAAAGTAGGTTCTCTCCCCACGTTACCTCTCTGTAGTACTCTTTTGATCTTCTCTGTGCTGTTCTTTCATTTCTGGAATATCTTGGGGATCTGCAGTTTCCTGCAGTACTTCATTATATTAAAAAGTTCTTATTTAATTTCTCAGTGCTGCCTTCTCATAGCACCRTTCTAACAATCAGAGAAAGATGGCACATATTTCCAAACAATGGACTTCATGGTTGAACATTAATTTATGTTGCCCTTCATTTAGTTTCACCATTCCATTTCTTGCCGTATGAGGTCTAATTTATGATCTGATTCTTGGATAAATTGTTTTGCATAGAGTACTGTTGTTACTGGTGACAGTCTTAACTAGCTTCTGTACTGTGCTGCTGTGTCTGYTTTCCCCCAAGAAACTGTGAAGAAACAAATTCCATTTGGATGAGTTGGAAATGCAAAATTTCATATGGGAGCTCAAAATCCAGAGGATTCGCTGTGCTAAACATATTCATCTCCTGCACAAGCTTTGATAGTTACAGGGTAAACACAATATGGTCTTAAATTTTCACCTAAATAACAAGTGTTCGGTTATCTGCTTTAAATTCAGGTACATAATGCAAAGGTAATTCTGTTGTAGGCTACCGTTGATCCAAAGTTTTTTCCAAACTTGAACAAAATTAGAGAGGACCATGGATATTGGGAATATATTGACTATAAACCTGTAATCTATATAATAGTATCTAATCTCTCAGACWCAATGAGAAACATTATGGGAAATATCATGAGTGAATAAAGAGAAAACTCTTTAGGTTTAAGTTTCTATTTTTTACCCTATAATTCTCCCCAAAGTAGTTAAATATATAATTCAATCTTGGGAGCGCTCTTGAAACTGTGGAAACAGTGTGAGTGTGTCTGTAGTTCCTCTTGTTTTTATTATAGGTGGCTTCAGTGCGTTATTAAGGTTCTCTCTCATATGACAAGTAGATGTTAAGAGGGGCTTGCATCCGTCCTGAGCTTTAAATTGAGGTGTTACCTGCGTCTGTTTGTGGGAGGGCAGGATGGTTTGAGAAGGAAGCTCTACTGTCTGAACGACCCTTGATGCTCTTCTCCTTTGTACATGGAAGAACGGGGATGAAGGTTGTCTGCAAAATACACACGCAGGATTACAGATATTTAAACCATTCTGTACAGGTTTTTGTTCCAACTTTGAAATCCCAGTGCTGGAACTCCACATTTTCCCTAGGTAACTTTCTCCGAGGACTTAATGCTCCTTACAGTATACAGTTTTCTGGTGAGCCCTGTAATGCTCCTGCCTCCATATATTGGTGCAAAGGGTGTGTCTTCAGGAAGAGAAGCTTCAAGGAACCATCGTGTGGTCTCATGTAYGTGTTGGGTTCTTGGCCTCTGGAAAAACTGACTGACTAGAGGTCAGTTTGTGAGAGAGTGGGAGTGAACAGGAGGACCAGGATACAGGGAGCAGGCAAACTGGTGGGGAATGCAGGGCTGGGAAACCGGAGAAGGGGGGCACTGGAGAAGTGGGACTGGAAACCAGTGCAGGAAGCAGCGGGTGAGAAGTAATGGGGGCAGTGAAGGGAGATCAAAGAAGGGTTGAAAGGGCAGGAAATGAGAGCTAACTTCCCAACCCTGGGGCTGTATAAAAGCCCTGAAGAAACCAGAGATTGTGGTTTTAGTTCAGAATGTGAACAGGTAGTGAGCACCACRTGTGCCCTTCAGATGGGAAACAGAGACAAAATACTGAGTGGAGTCTCCTTAGGATAACACTGTGCTGCTCCTTCAGCTAATGAGGAAGGGGAGCTACCGAAACAGCAGCATGTGGTCACGCATTTACGTTGGGTATCATATCAGGTACTTTTCTCTGGCTTAGTATTTCTTAAATCTTACTTTTTGACTTATTCAATTAACTTATTCAATTGCCCCACCTATTTGGGATATTTGAAAAATAGTATATTAAAATTGCAGTAGTTCATGCAAATAAATTGTAAAATAATGTAAAACAAGGGCATAGAAAGATGTATGATACTGTTGCCRTTATGGTTAAGGATGAACATGGTCTTAAATGAGTTTCTTGCACTTCAGCAATTTTCTACTCCAAGCATTTGCTCTCACGCAGCATTTCTGTGTCTGTTGTGCCTGACCTGTAGTCATTTGGGCTTGGACCATTTTCAGCTTTGTTTTTGCTGTTTATTCACCCTCTCTAATGGTCACACCTAAAAGCACAGCCTCCTGGTTGTCTTTCTGCTCTGTATTCTACAGTACCCAGTAGAACACAGAGTTGTAGGATGGTAAAACTGTTCAGATGGGGGTGATTGACAGGTAGACAGGTAGACCAAATTTTAATCCTTTTCATACAGCACTAGTGAATTTGCCTGCTAACCTATGATTTTTTGAATACTAATTTTGTTGCATAATGTAAAGTCATAAACAGTYATACATACAAATTTGTTTCCATGTGTTGCATGTCATTGGTACTGTAATCAAAAATTTAAAAGATWGGTTTAAATACTATGTTTGCACTTTTAAACTAATGCCTCGTTACCGGAAAAGATTTTACTGAGTCTGTTTGGAGGAAGTTCCTGACGGCAGGTTTTATTTTACTGCAAATATTATAAGCTCCTGTGAATAAGGATGGTACTACACTATATTTCCAGTGTATAATTTTGCTTCTGCTTATTTGGTGACCTGTAGACTTATCTTTTTATTGGCTTCCTCCTTTAATAGGGAATGGGCCTTCAGGAATTTGCCTTTCCTACCTGCTGTCTGGCTACAGGCCATACTTGTCTCCGGAGGCTGTGCATCCCAACCCCGTGCTGCATGCGAAGCTGGAAGCAGCTCGGCATCTTTCCATCGTTGACCAAGTAAGCTCTCGTTGCCACCTCACCCACATCTCCTCCCCCTCCAAAAMACATTATAAAACAGGAAGCTTTCTTTAATGATCCCGTTTAAAATACTTTTGCAGTTTTGATAAAAGCAGTGTCACGCACAAAAGAAATGGCCTGACTTTCTTAAGCTGCAAAGAATTAACAGCACAATAAAGCTCAGAAACTCTGGCTTGAAGCAACTGGCTTTGCCTCTTGACTTTTTTTCTTACCTGCAAAATAAAGGACAGTATATACCTTCCTCAGTAGCTGTTAACAAATTTATATGTGTTTTAGGTGAAAAACAGTGCATTTTAAGAACTATTTATCCCCCAAATTACGTGTGTTTCATCATGGAAGGCTAGTGTACTTACCTAGTTATATTTCTAATGCATTAACAAGTTATTTTGTTCTTCTGTTAATTTAGTAAACAACTTAATTTAAATGGAATCAAGTTACTGCCACACCAAGAGCTGTTTGTCCTGTCCTTGTTACTTGTCCAAACCTGTGTAAAGCAGCACTTGGTCTTTCAGGGAGTAGCTCATGAAGGAATCTTGACTTTCACACACTGGAGTGTTCGGGCACCATCACTTAGGCCTGAGGAGTACTGAAGAACAGTGTACTTGAAGTACACAGTCTCCAAGTCTAAAATATTCCTAAACAACACAGTTCTTCCTAGGGCTCAGTTTTCAGTAACATGAGAGATGAGCATGTTTTTCTTTTCTGAACAGTTCATATCTTTCACTGTTCGGATGCTGGTCACAGTGACTCCTGTGCTCGTTGCTCTCCGTGTATACATTTGATTTTTCTGTCTTTTTTTGAATGGTTAAATCTCCTCCACTGTTTTTCTCCAGTGTGTTACTCTTCTCCACACTTGCACAATTTGTTTGCCACATTGCTATTTTCTGCTCGTTCCGTTCTTGATCGCTGACAGTGCTGCTATGAACTGCAGTGTCTCTGAGCTCTACTTTGGTTGAACTAGAAGCATGCATGTGTGTTTCTAGTGGAAAAGTGAGACTCTGTTGGCTGTATGTTTCTGTTTGTTTGTTTTAATCCCACACTGTTCTCACAGGATGTTGACCTTAAGTATCAAGGTTTATGTTTTTGGCAGGACAGTAAGCTGCCTTAATTTTTGGCTACAGACACTCCATGTTCTGCTTATCTCCCCTCCTTCTTGGTCTTTTTCCCAATTTGGGAGGCTAAACTATCTTTTGTTTAGCACAGCTTGGCCTCATGGCTTCTATATTCTCTTCAAATATTTGTCAGTGCGTTGTTGTAGAAATGCTGAACCTTGCTTATTTCTATTWAAAAAAAAAAAAAAGAAAAAGTTTGGAATGTATCTCTGCATTAAATATTTATCTGTACCTAAATTCCAGCTTAAACTAACACTTYGCTTTTTGTTGAAATTAAACTTCTACACATGAGAATGCTGCCACGTGTGGGTGGTGAAAGCTGCGTGACCCTGAGCACTTTCTTTCTTCCACGCTGCAGGACCTGGAGTTCCTGGCGGAGGGGCTGGAAGGGCGCTCCCCCAACCCYGTGGCCGTGCTCTTCGACACGCTGCTGCATCCCGACGCCGACTTCGGCTACGGCTACCCGCCCGTTCTGCACTGGAAGCTGGAGCAGCACCACTACATCCCCCACATGGTGCTTGGCAAAGGACCACCTGGTGGGGCCTGGCATGTGAGTAAATTCTTCATGGCACTTGCAGGCTAACTTCATAATTTTGCCGTTTCGCTGGTTTCTTGCTCTCTGAGGTTGTTCTTTAGATACTGCTGGCTGTTGCAGTTCCGACTGTTCAGCTTAGTGAAGCTCAAATATGGTAGAGATACAAAAACAGGAAGGGAAAGTTAGCCGTTAAGKGGATTGGGATTTGTGAACATAAATGTAGTTGTGGGGTTTTTTTTTTTCTTCCCCTGTTAGCTTAGATTTAATGAGTTTTAATGAAATGTATTTTCTGAGACTTCTCTTCTGTCTTTACATTATTTCCAGGTGCTGTTAAGCTGCCTTGAATTGTAGTGTTCCTATCCCACTGGTTTCAGCCTTTTCCTATATCTGTTGGCAGTTTTCAGTAACTCACTTTGATTTTTCCTTTGTTCTCCCTCCACTTTCTGCWTTTCTTCCATAACTTTATTGAATCATGTGATTATTAAAAGAGTGTCTAACTGTAATAAGAAAGCTTATTTCCTGAGCACTTTCTATAATGTTCACATATTCTTATATTCTAATATTATATTGCTGTGAGTACAAGGAGAATTTCTCAATGTTTTACATGAATATGCTAATTTGAAATTTATCTGGTTACATGTCTTATTTTTCACCGCAGTCTATGGAAGGCTCTATGTTAACAATTAGTTTGGGGGACTGGATGGAATTGCCTGGACTTGCATTTAAAGAGTGGACAGCCAACAAGCGCAGGTAAAAATATCACTTGGCTTATTTGAAAAATATGTAGTTGCTATGAGAATCCAGGTAGCCTTGTTTTAAGAACTGCAAAACAGCCTCCATGTTTACAGGAATGATTTTTTTTTCCTTTGTTTAATAAATTGCCTCATGACAGTGGAAATGTTCCTCCCCCATGTACTCTGGTAGAAGAAGATTGGCAGTGCTTGGCCCAAATAATGCATTTTGAATGCATCAAAAACATATATAAAGCAATTCCATGTTTGCAAGCAGCTGTTGAAGTTGCATAAAGAACTGTGAGCAGCACAGAGGAGCACTGCTGCTATGAACAGCTCTGATCAGAATTGAGAGAGGAGTTTAAAATCTGCAGAGCTACTGTGAGTTCCTCTTTTTTAAGCTACTGTGTGTGACAGCTTTTTTTAAATTCAGGAAAATTTATTTCAGCACTTGCTTTCTAAATAAATGCTGCAGCATGTAAAAATTACATACAGATTTTAATTTTAAAATAATAATTAGGTATTTCTCAGTGTTCTTTTCCAGTAGGAAGTTCCCTGAACAAWTTTTTTTAAAGAAAAAAAATATTATCTTGTACAAACTCAGAGACTATAAAAATAGAAATTACAAGWTGATCTTATATGAGCTCACTCAAACATCAGATATACTAGTAGTTTAGGAAAGCCTTTGTGTTAAAACCTAAACTTGGGCACTTTAGGTTAACTTCTTTTAGAATCTGAATCTTCCTATCTTTGTCCTAAGTAAAATGAAAGGAGAATCTTCTTCTGCTGTGGGTGGTTAGAATTAAAGGAATGGAATTAAAGCAGGCTCTTTCGGAGCCGGCAGCTCCTTCTTTTAGGGCAATATTTGCACTAAAGAAACGGTCCCTTTGTTCTTCAGTGGCGTTCTTAGATAACCAGGTAATCTTGCCTCCTTATTAGCTTAAATCCTCTAATCTCCTGATTAGCTGAAGCTAATTTGTTTGTGTCTTAAATTTGAACAATACTAAAGACCGCTGACCTGTTTTACTACAGTTAAACAAAGTGTATTTAAAAGTACCGATGGCATTTGAAAACTTTCAGTCATTTAGACAGTTTCATGAGTTTCCTCATAGGAAATCATGATCATCTCACAGGGGTTTGCAGAGTAATAACCTGAACATTTACWACTACATATACTATTATCCTGGTAGTCTGTGAGTAGCCTGACCTCTTGTAAAAACTACGTATAAWTCAGTGGCAGCCCTCACGATCAGTGCTAATGTTTCTTTCAGCTTTCTCCTAGAATTCTCTTTAAAAGAGCAGCAACCAAATCAACGTGATTGCTGAAAATATTTATTCAGTTTTTTTAATAAATGATAAGGCAGCAAACATAACAAGAAAGACATAGATGTAATATCAGGTTCTCAGGTTTTTTTTTAATTAGATATTCAGACATCAAAATCCTATTTGTGTATTTACTTTAACATTATAATATTTGCTCTTTTAGTTCCTATGGGACTTAAAGTTTGTGATATGAAACTACATGATACCTGCTGAATTTAAATGTACTCAGGGGATGTCTGATATTCTTTATTGTACTCGGCAAACCATATAGCACRCTTAAGAGTTTCAGAGATGGCACTTGAGGTACTACTTTATCCCTAGTAAGGCTGTTTTCCCTGAGCAAAGCTTTTGCTGGTATTGGTGATAGCAGAGAGGTTAAATTGGCTTTGTAAAACCCTTCTATTAGGAATTGCTCTCCTCCTCYGATACTGTTAGAATGTTTTTATGCTGCTTTTACTTGTTGCTTTAGCACTTTGAAGTTTTTCTTTCTTAGTGTTGTACATCTTGCCTTGTACATGAGGAATCAAAAGAGCAAATAAAAGATCTTGAAGATACTGAACTGTGTTAGTTACACTGAGTATCGACCCTCTGCAATTCGACAGTTAGGTAGTTTGTCAAGTGTGATGGTACTACCGGGACAGCCTAAATATTAACTGGAACCTTTTAATTTTGTTTTAGAAACATGAAGAGCGACCGAGTAATGCCAGAGGAAATAGCTTGTTACTATAAGCACTATGTCAAAGTCATGGGCCTCCAAAAGAATTTCAGAGACAATGTTTACATCACGTCAGTAGCCAGGCTTTATCGAGGGACCGACGATGAAGATGAAAGTCAACTAAATGAAAATATTTCCACCCAGCGTTTACAGATGGAACTGGAAGAGGGACAGAAGTCGCTGATTAAGAGAAACTGGGAAGTCAGAGGCTATCAGAGAGCAGCGGATGGTTCTCACGTGCCATTCTGCCTCTTTGCTGAGAACGTGGCCCTCGCCACTGGCACCTTTGACTCCCCCGGCCGGCTACAGGTGGAGGGAGAGGACTTTCCTTTTGTGCTTCATTCCATGTCTGACTTTGGAGCTGCCATAAGCAAAGGCAAACTGCGTGGCAAGGCCGACCCCGTGCTGATCGTGGGCGCGGGGCTCACGGCGGCTGATGCCGTCCTGTGTGCCTACAACAACAACCTCCCCGTGCTCCACGTGTTCCGCAGGAGGGTCACCGACACCAGTCTCATTTTCAAGCAGTTGCCCAAAACGCTCTATCCCGAGTACCACAAAGTCTATCACATGATGTGCACTCAGTCGCATTCTGTGGATTCCAGCCTGCGTTCTGCTTACACCAGTTTCCCCGAACACCACGTGCTTTCCTTCAAGCCTGAAATGAAATGTGTTCTTCAGAGTGCCTCCGGACTGAAGAAAATCTTGAAGTTTTCTGTAGCCTTAGTTCTCATAGGGTCTCACCCAAATCTCTTCTTTCTGAAGGACCAAGGGCAAGGCATAGGGCATCACACCAATCAGCCCATCACGTGCAAGGGGAACCCCATCGAGATCGACCCGTATACGTACGAGTGCACCAAAGAGGCCAACCTCTTTGCTTTAGGTCCTCTGGTTGGAGACAATTTTGTACGGTTTTTAAAAGGAGGCGCGTTGGGCATTACGCGATGCTTGGCGATAAGACAAAAGAAGAAGCATGAACTGATGGAAAGCAGGGATGGAGGAGGTGATGGGGTACCGTAGGGGAGCATTAGGAACCGTCACGTATGGAATTACAGGTGGAGTTGAACAGCCTCCCAACAGAAGCCATTAGCAGTCACATTTTTGTTGTGTGCAAGTAACCTGCACTTGTATTGCTCAGTAAAGGATGCTGTTACTACARTGCTTCATCTTTCCACAATACAGCAATTGGTCGGCTGTTGCAGCTGATCCCTACTCGACTGGAGTAGCTCCCAGATAAACAGAAAACGAGACTAACTTGTAGTGACCTGCCTGTCATCTCTTGCTGAGCTAAAAGAGCAGGATTCCTCTGGGAAAAATGAGCCTGCCACCGTGGCTTTGCATTTCAGTGTCAGATCCCGCAAAATATTCTTAGCCTGAAATTCAGCTAACTTCTAAAAGCAGAAAGCTGTCATAGTATAAGATGATTCTTGGTCCCAAAGCAAGTTGGGAGCCTTCTGTTTGAAACAACGATGTTATTTATTTGCCACAGTAACAACAGTAATAATTACTCTGAGCACATAGGGAAATGGCCTTTACTAAAGGAAGATTTCTGTAAGCAGAGGCATATTGCTCATCAGGTATAAATTATCCTCTTGGAGAAATGGAATAAAAGAATAAGCCTTGCCCTTTACTGCATGATTTGTCAGTCCATTGGTGTTCTCTCCATGGTATGCCTGGAGTTGGGGCAGAACAGAGATGCACCCAGAGGTGTGTTCCCCTGCAGTGCTATGTACCTTCTCCGAATACTGATGGACACCAACAATGAAGTGCTGATGGAAGTGCTCTTAGCACAGTGTCAATATGCTGAGTATCTAATGTTCTACTGAAAAAAAAAAAATGCTGGAAAGACAAGTGCAGAAAAAAAGTGTAGGAGAAGTTTCCTCTGTGCTCAGTTCAGGAAGGCTGAGGGAGATGGCTTGGCTGATGAGCGAGAGATACTCTCACTTTCCATTTGACCAAACTTTGGTTATTTCTCTCCTTTTTTTTGTTTGTTTGTTTATGGAGCAGCATATAATATTAAAACTACTTTAGTCTGCAGTTTTTGAAACTCAGGGATTATTCTCTGTAGTGAGGTAAGGAACCACTGGTTAGAAAATGGTTAGGTTGTCTTTTGAATTCATGGCTGTGTGCTTGGTTTTCGTTGATTCATTCCAAATGTTTTAAGTCAGGCCCAGTGTAATAAAACAGCTCTTATCCACTTAAATTCCCTGCTGTGGGTGCTTTTGTGTGTGTGTGTGTGTGTTGAAGAATGTCACATTAGATTAAGATATTTGCACAAGTAAAATCTCCATATTGGAACTTGAGCAGATTAGGAAGAGGAAATCAGGTTTGGGCTTAGACTTTGTGAAACTGCTAGTGATGACTTCCATAATTTGTTATCTTTATGCTATAAGTGTCTTTTCTCTCCCTTTACGACAGGCCTCTAAGCATATGTGTAAGTTACCTGGGCTTGTGGGGACATAAAAATCAGAGGTGAAAAGCGAAAGGGTTAAAATCACAGAATCACAGAATATTCAAGGTTGGAAGGCACCTCTAGAGATCGGCTAGTCCAACCTTCCCGCTCAAGCAGGCACACCTASAGCATGTGGCACASGGYGGCATCCMGGYGGGTTTGGAGACCTCCAGAGAAGGAGACTCCACAGCCTCCCTGGGCAGCCTGTTCCACTGCTCTGTCACCCTCACAGTAAAGAAGTTCCTGCTCACCTGGAGACAGAAYTTTCTGTGYTTCAGCTTATGCCCATTRACCCTCGTCCAGTCRCTGGCCACCAATGAGAACAGCTTGTCCCYTTCTTCCCTCCATTCTTCTTTCCTGAACTTATACATGTTAATCATATCCCCTCTCAGCCTTCTCTTCTCCAGAGAAAACAGGCCCAGTTCACTCAGTCTCTCCTCATATGAGAGATGCTCCATTCCTTTAATCATCTTAGTTGCTCTCCGCAGGACCATCATTATCAGTAGAAGTCTGGAGCCTTCACTTCTTGGTTAAGTATAAAATGATAAGAATASCTATAATAACTCTTAGTTTAGAGCTAGCTTAATTGCGTGAAGATAAACATAAATGAGGTGATTTTTATATTAATTTCAGCATTGCTTGCGTGGTTTGAATTCAACTATGCATTGTCAATGTAGTTAAGATGTTCATTTTTATAGTTAATGATATTTAAGGTTGTCTTAATTATGCTGAATTCTAGACTCATACCATCTCAGTGCAGTCATGAAGAAAATAATTTGCCTTTTTAAGCAGAAACAGTAACCTAAACCTGTTGATACATAATAATTTTGAGTATGACATATGATCGTAAAAGTTCATTGCAATTACTGTGTTGGGAATACACTTTCTTGAGATGAAATTGCTGCATTTTGTGTCGGTATAAACGTGTGATCACAACATCCCATTGCAGTTGCAGCAGTTCCCTGTGTCATGTTAAACTTTTAAAAAGCCAGCAAAACAAGGGAAGAAATTTACTTAGCGCTTAAATTTGTAGCAGAGATTTTCTTTTTTTTTTTTTTTTTCTCCAGTTTGTCATAGTGGGTTTCTTTTTTGGTTGTTGAATGTTCTAGGAATTCCTAGCTCTAAAGTTGCAGCTGGATTTTTCTCACTTGTGGGTTTCTTCTCTTCTTTCTGAGCTTTTTTTTTATTTTTCTGCCATCATAGGTATTTTGAGAACAACACACTTTTATAAATGAATATCTTAATTCAGTTTATTTAGGATAGCTTTAGCTCAAGTGTTACATGGTAGTTCCTACAATTATTATGAACCGGGTGCTAGCACTGAAAATATTGAATTTCTCAGGTTTCAAAAATTAAAATTGTGAATTTTCTTTAGGTTAATTTTGTTCTCTGACGGAGACTGCTTCCCTCAACCCATCTTTCAGTGTGAAAGATCTCGTCATAAGGCAGTTGATAAGAATTTTACATTCCAGAACAGCGCTTGTGCCTAAGCCATATTGCTGGACGCAGCAGGAAGAATATAATTATAAAGGATTTTTTCCACTCCTCTCTATGGCTCACATACTATTTCAGCTTCTAGAAATAAAAATGAGCAGAAAAACATCTTTCATTGTAGGTTTTAGTTCTTTTTCTTAATACTGGATCTGTCTCCTGGCAAAATTACTGTTGGGATGATTTTATTTGGTGCCCGGYGCGCTGTGGCGGAGCCGCCTGTGGCTCTGCGGCACATGGGTCCTGGGCAGCAGGGTTGGGTTTGGATGAGCGTTTAAGGCAAGAGCATGACCAAAGGACTGTTCTTTACCTGGTCGGAATCTCCCTTTCCTCCCACAGCCTGGGATAAAGCAGGAGATCTGCCTTGAACAGCTCTAACGCCTGATGCTCCCCAGCAGAATCGCTGGGAGCTGGAACGTCCTCCAACGGAAAGGAAGGCTTTGGTGATACCGGCGCCACAAAGCTGGATTTAGGATGCTGAATTATAAACAGATCTTCTAAATAAGATAACACTGTCTTCTGAGGAATATAGTACATTTAAGGACTGATTTTTGAAGACTGAATTACACTAGGCCAAGGATGAATTGGGTGTAAGGCACAAAATGAAGAGTTATGGGCAAAGAAATAGTGTTTTGGGATAATTTCATAGAAGGAGGAAGACTAAGCTCCTTCTTAACAGTGGTTTTGTGAGAGCAGACAGTAACATTTCTACTCTGGGGTTTTTCAGGCAGCTAACCTTTACATTAAGCTTGTTCATACACTAGATTTTCTAGCAGTCATACTTAATATGGAACATAGTAAGTCCAACTTTTATAATCCAGTGATCATTAGTAAAGAGCAAAACCAGCAAAAAACATATTTCATACTCTTAGCTCTCCTATATTTTTGAAACAACTAGTTCTAGAGATTAAGGTCATATAATTAACATTTTTTTCCATCCATCTGTAGTCTGACAACACTGGTGATTGGTTCGTATCAGCCTACACTGCTCTTAGACTAACTTAGTCTTAGATACCCTGTATAGATTTATATGCCAGCATAAAAAAAAAAAATATTCCCAAAGTATTCTGTAAACTTGATATCTTTAAGTCATTGTTAACTCTGTGTGTTATGTATATTAAAAAAAAATAAAAAATAAATCTAGAGCCAAGGATATAGAATAGCACTGGCACCATTTTGGAGAAAATGTTGAATACTCTGGAGAGAGGAATAGTTCATTTTTTTGTAAGTTTGGATCCAGGACAAGCTTCCCCATGAACCCTGAGGTATTCCTGCTCCAGAACGGGGTAGCTCTGTTATCCCCATCTGGACATTTTCTATTTCCCCATTTTCTAAGGCTGACACTCTGGTTTTGCCCATTTTTCTACAGATGATGTTTCTGGTGGTGGAATTGCAGTTTTAAACAAGCTAAAGGTTTGTGCCTAGGGTGCAGATGGGCTGAGACGTCCTGCCTGGAGCTGGAGTTGCRGGCAAACCCAAATTCTGTGCTTCGTGCCTCAGTGTTTCTGCTCCTGCTGAAATTTCTGTGGGTCATGTGCTCTTCTGTAGATRAGAAGGATGTAAACAGGACTTGAGAGAACATCTGAACTGCATCTTCCTCCTGAGCTACAAGCAAAACCCCAGCTTTGATCAGATGATAAACCCAGCTGGGTCTGCATGTTGGGCTCGTGTGTGTTTTCTTGTGTGAAAGCCAAGGACTGAGATGAAAGGCGACAGGAATAAAACTCCAGCGGTTTCACGCTGAAGTCCAGGAGTACAGACTGGAGGAGCCCTCTAAAGCAGAGGTCAGGGAGAATCTGTGGGGGTGCCAGAGGGATGTAAGGAGATGCAGTGAGGGAAAAGGAAAACCTGGCTGAGGGTTTTGGATGGATCTGGTGCTGTAGCTCATCCTTGAAGTGGTTTTGATAGTGAAACCCAAAACAAAATGATACCAAAGTCAGAAATGGTGCGTTTGGGACTCCATACCTTTGGGCCAAAGGTGATAATAGATGGATTCAGAAAATAAGGCATGAGAAGGGTAAGTTCTGGAGGGAGAGAAAACACTAAGAAGATGACCTGGTGAGCATGAGGCCTGAGAAAGGGTCTGGGAACAAAGCAGTCTGTGCAGTAAGCCCTTGGGTAGGGCGAATGGGCTCTTCAGCTGGTGTGTCCACCACGTGCTGAGGGTGGAGGCAAAGCTGGAAGAGCCCCTGGGAGGCGGGACAGCGGATGGGCTCAGAGCTGGGGAGGAGGTGCCGGAAAGAGGGGGCTGAACCAGACAAGCACCTGGGGTTCAGGGAGTGGGGCTGGGGGGGCTGAGCGCAGCCCTCCCGCCACTGCTCCCCTGAGACCGGGAGCAAGGACACGGTCCCATGGCGGCAGGAGCAGAAATACTCCAACAAGGAAAAGGAGAAGATCTCCTTCGAAAAGGCAGGGATGGGGGCGGCTGGCTGAGGCGGGAGCGAGCTCAGCAGAGAGCGTGTTCGTTGTCGCTGGGCRGATGTGGCGCCCGTCCTCGTGTGAAGCGACTCCAGTATGGCCGCTCTCCTCTGCTCAGCTGAGCCGCTGTGGGCGACACTGCGCTTTAAAAGCCTTGCTTATTAATAAAGAGCATATTTAGTCTGTGCATTGTGTGCATCTCCTTCCTGTGCAAGTGAAGATGAGGCAGGTGCAGAAAGGCAGTTCCCCCCGCAGCCTCAGACAAGCTTCTGGTTACGCAGACACACAAGGAGGGATGAAGAAGATGAGTTCCCGCTTGGTATTTTTAGCTAGTGAGCTCGATTTTGTGAAACAAAGAGGTGGGGAGGCCTGCAGGTCGTGGTTTGAAGTAGATGAGGGAAATGGTTAGATATGATGGGCCTGTTCAGCCTGACGAAGAGAAGGCTGAGGGGGGAACCTGATCAGTGTCTATAAATACCTCAAGGGAGGCAATGAGGAGGATGGGCCTGACCTCTTTTCAGTGGTGGCCACTGATAGGACTAAACAGCCACAAACTGAAGCATCAAAAGTTCAACAGGAACTTAAGGAAAAATTACTTAGCAGTGAGGGTGACAGAGCCCAGAGAAGTTGTGGAGTCTCCTTTTCTGKAGATCTGCAAAACCYGCTTGGACACAGCCCTGTGCTCTAGGTGACCCTGCGTGTGCAGGGGGTTGGACTGGATGACCTCGGGAGGTCCCTTTCAACCTCAARGATTCTATGATGTCTGTTACCATCTTTTTAGGCACACCTTCCAGAGAAAAGCCTAGTGGGGTGGTGAAAGGTCTCACCCAAGCTGCCACAGCAGCCGCCCTGGAGCGGATCCGTGGCATTTGCTTCATGGGATCTGCAGTGTTTTCCTCATTGCATCGCCCAAGCAAGAGAGGGACAAGCCCTGAGGGGCCAGAGCTCGCAGCCCCCTGCAGCCCACGGGGGCTGGGCCCCGACGTGGAGGAAAATGCGGCCTGCACCACAGTGATGCTGCCCTCTCTCCTGCTTCCCTGTGTCACGAGGACGTTTATGTCTGTGCAGTTAATGCAAAGTTAAATCATTACAAAAATGCCTGTAAAATGTCGTAAGTACCATTAATAAAAGTACTGAAATACACTTGCTACAATTCTTAATCACTCAAAAATCCATAAAAAGGCTCCAGGTAAAAGGAGATGCCAGTACTAGATTGAATACATGTGGAATGCTACATGTCATGCAGACTTTGTCTCTGGCCTCTCAGTACCTTTAAACAAATGGATCTTCAAATTCATTTAATGCTGCAAAATCAAATGAGCTCCAAGAAGAGTCTCCTCCTCCCCCTTCAGCTCCAAGATCCACATGTTTCTCCCCAGGCCCCCTTTCCTCAAAGCAACTTCCGAAATGCACAAAGGGAGCTCAGTTAAGTCCTTCTCCCCTTTTCTGAGGAAGGTTCCTCTGCACCTTCCTTTGTCCAAGTTTTAAGCAGTGCCTAACAGAAATTATTTGCTGTGTTTTCCCTGCCATCCTGAAGTTCGAGTTAACCCTTATTTCCTTTTCAGAGGGAACCTTTCTTATTTTCCCCAAAGCACCAATTTAAAGGGGGAATGAAGGGATCTCTTTTAAACCTAAAAAAAACCCTAAACAAACACCTCCCCCCAAAAAAACAAGTCTCTAGCAGAAGTATTTGTGCAGTCATTTCCTACCCACAGAGGAACAGGTTAATTTTAGGAAGCTAAACTTTCTCCTTCCTCATTGAAAATAAGTAATAGTTATCGCCAGTATCAGTTGAAAAGGGGACTGGTTTGTGGTTGTAAACCTGAAGCATCGTTATTTTCAGTTTAAGAGTCATTAACTGCAAAGGAAAACGTTTTGCTCAGTGAGGACGGGAGCAGCCAAGGAGGCTRCGGCTTCATCTCTGAATTGTCAGGTTCACTCAGCCTTGGTGAACATGTCCCGCAGGCCAAAGAAATGCACCTGACCTGCAGAGCATCTTTGACCATTGCTTTAGTCTGTTAATCTGGCTCCTGGGAATCATCAAATCCTCCCAACAATCTTCCTGCGTTCTACCTCGAGTACTCTTACAACTGAGAACAGTTACATGGTGTAAGATAGGGCTGTATCAGAATTATCACTGCTGAGATACAGSGGCTTCTGTCTCTCACCGATAGTACAGGAAAGCACATAAATAATGTAAAATTCTGAGGGTTGTAGCTCTAGGCTTCCCCTGAACATCTTTAATTCTTAAGCAATTATTTTCAAACCCTACTCTAGTTGCAAAGGAAAGAATACATTCAAAGAATAAAACTGCAGCCACCTCGCTCTTCCCAGGAACCCAAAATTAAACTCTTGTTAATGCTGCAAATCTTACACGGGCAAGGTATCTTTGTATCTCAGAATCACAGAATCACAGAATCACAGAATATTCAAGGTTGGAAGGGACCTCTASRGATCATCTAGTCCAACCTTCCCGCTCAAGCAGGCACACCTAGAGCATGTCGCACAGGGYGGCATCCAGGYGGGTTTTGAAGACCTCCAGAGTAGGAGACTCCRCAACCTCCCTGGGCAGCCTGTTCCACTGCTCTGTCACCCTMACAGTAAAGAAGTTCCTCCTCACCTGGAGACGGATCTTCCTGTGCTCCAGCTTGTGGCCATTACCCCTCGTCCWGTCRCTGGCCACCAGTGAAAACAGCYTGTCCCCTTCCTCCCYGCATTCTCCCTTCCTGAACTTATACACATTAATCAGATCCCCTCTGAGCCTTCTCTTCTCCAGAGAAAACAGGCCCAGCTCACTCAGCCTCTCTTCATACGAGAGATGTTCCATTCCCTTAATCATCCTGGTTGCTCTTCTCTGGACCCTCTCRAGAAGCTCCAYGTCCCTCTTATACTGGGGAGCCCAGAACTGCAAGTTCAAAGGGTGATAACATGGCAAAAGTGACTGAACRGTTAAGAATAAGGCATTTAATATCTGCCATTTCACAAAACCAGTGGCTGGCTGATAACTGAATGTCATCAACTTCACAAGTGGGAAGAAGTTTAAGCTCACTAGATGTTTTCTGTCTACTCAGACCCAAGTTTTTACAAGTCTTCAAAAATCCCCACATCAGAACCATACAGTGACATTATACCAAATAAATAAATAAGGGAATTAAAAAATTAAAAAGAAAAAAAGCCTGATACTAGTTTCCTCCCCCTCCCCATAAAACAATAGAACTAAAGTAAGTGCTAGAAAAGAAATAGTATGAAATGGAATCTTAAATATCTATGGTATTTTGCTGAAGTTTCCCTTACTTTGAAGCAAGAATCTTAAGGCCTGGAAATCTGGCCTAATCCTTAAGTACCAAACAGTGAAAGAAACTTTTTTTTTCCTCCTTTAATAAAAGCAAGACTTAAAAACAAGTCTTACAACAATATGCAGTTCAAATGGTCATGTATATGTATATATTACACATTGTAATCAGTAAACATATTCATAAGCAGCAAAAAGCAGACTTTGCTGGAGAAGTACTGTAAATTCAGGTCACAATTTATCTTCTCCTTTTCACACTAGGATCATACCTGTAAGAAAAAGAGAATTTGTCATAAAGAAGCAAAACAACATGATATTCAATGCTAAGAATGTGATGTAAGTACTTTTGCTAAGCAGTACTAYGCATTCCCAATTAAGGACTGGATGCTGTTTAGTTCTTTCCTGCACATCTTTGATTAACTACAGTAGCTGCCTTGGACTGAGGGATGCAGAAGCTGGAACACGTGCAATAAACTTTGAACTGGATCCTTCATGTCTACCTGATGTACTCAACCTGTTGAACGCTGATCTGTGCATTTTAACACACTGGCTTTGAGGTAAAAAGCTTTTCTATGCACGAACGTGATTTAATTTTCCACTGCTGTGTTTTGAAAGGCCAAAACAAATTAAAATATTTTGAACTAGCTAAAATCCTAGAATAGTACTGTAATCAAGCTGTACAACATTTTTATAAATGCCGTCATAATCATCATATTTAAATGCTGTATTTCAGAGATAAAAAAATGATAAAGAGGCAAACATAATTTTAATTAGAGAATGGTTATAAATCATTAAACCAGGATTRCAGTTGAAAAACTGGACAAGAAGTTAACTGAATAGGATTATTCAGGATGAAAGAGAGATTATGGAAAGTGGTGTGCAACTGGAGTGTGGGGTACTGAAAGGAAACTGCTGAACCAGACTATATTTTAGAGATGAATAATGTGAAGTTTATTACAGAGTAAGATCCCAAGGGGAACCTGGATCTACTAAAACAAACCCACTCACTCCTCTGTGACACAAGTACCGACTAAGACCAGACTCAGAACTTTCAGCCTACTGCTGACAGGAGAAAACCAAACTGGCAAGCACRGCACTATGAGGCTAAAAATGCCACCTTTCCCAAGTTTGGAGACTGGAAAGATGCAAAACATTCCGGGAGCTTCTAGCAAAGAAAACAGACAGGATCTCTTTTATCTGCTTTATTGTGTGTGGCTTTGAAAGCAGTTTGGGRAGGATAAAGGTCACATAGGGACTACACTGAGTGCTTTAAGACTTTTTAAATCTTAATTCTGGAAATGGGAGTCATCARCTCAGGCAGACCTTAGCAGAAAAGTGAGCAGCACTGCCAAAAGTGCCGCCATGGAACTGGTTTCCTGCTGCTTTAGCTCCCTCAGGTGACTCAGCAGAGGGACAGACAAGCACCACGGCCAGCAGGAAGCAAGTGTCAGACCCCGAACCTTTTTGCTGGGAGTTGAGATTAGAAGTTCAGGAGAATAAACCATAAAACGACTTCATCAGGCCCTGGCAAATACCGAGGTCAGATAACCTGGCCCTGGAGTCTTGCCCAGCTTAGGTGAACAAGGAACCTTCTGCATGTGAGAAAAGACATTGCAACGTTTTGTTTGAGGACATTGTAGAAAATGGAGACAGTCTGAATGAAACTGGAAATTAAAGGCATAATAAAATAAGGCAAAAAARGGCACAAAAAATGTAATGCTTCTTCTTCACCAGAAGATGGAAGTCAGCTTGAGTATATGCAAGATATGAAAATACAATAATTTYTGAAAATAATACTAAAGAGTATTCTATTACAAAACTGGAACTTGTTCAAAGATGTGATGTTAAATATACACTTCTAACTGAAACAAACCTCTYACCTAAAGAGATCATCAGCAAGTGATTCTTCCCTTGCATGTCGATTCTGCTCCTGGCAAARTAAGAATATTCAATATGTGATGTTAATGAGGAGGCTAATGAATATAGTCCAGTGCTAACAATTTTCCCTCTAGAAATAACTTTTTCCCCCTCACCACTACTCCAGTTATTRCATTATCATGATGGATAATATAAATATATTTCATTACTCAGATCTGGCCACTTGTTGGTATGCAGCTACAAATTTAATACACAAACTAATCTGTCAGTTGTTAAGATGTGAGTTTTTATTGGATTTTTTCCCCCCTAAGCCTAATTCAGAAATGACCGCAGGTTGGTAGAACCACTAGACAGGAGTCAAGTTATGTTTTGTTCATCTTTGAGAATGAAGTTTTGTTCATCTTTGAGAATGAACTTCTTACCTCTAGTTCTTGCCTTAACCAGTCCTCTAGCTCTGAACTCTTTTTAGCACGGTGAGCAATCAAATCTGATCCTCCAATGATGTATGGAAGTTGTCCTGACCCTGGGTAAGCAACCTATTCACCAATAACATTTACAATTACAATGCAAGGCACCACTCTGCAAGTAAAAGCTCTGTTTTAATAAACTCAGAAAGTCTGTTGAGGCAGCATGAAAGTAAGTCTGTCCTTCTCTTTTTGATTAAAATTCATCAGATAAGATGAATTTTAGACACGACTGAAGTATCTTCAGGATGAAGATACTTTTCAGGATAAAACAGGATCTTCAGCAAATCAACTGCTTCCTTTTTTATAAAGGGAAAAAAAACCTGACAAGCTGCCTTTGCTAAATACACACATATTAAATGAAGCTCAAAGTATTGGAAATGATTGTATATATACTAATAGATCCTATCTTAACTCAGAATAGATGAGTACCTTAAAGTTAGAAAAACATTAMAAGTTTATTCAGTTTAAAATATCACCAGAAAGTGGCAGCATCCTCTCAGACCACTTAGAAGTCTGCCCAGGGAGGCTGTGGAGTCTCCTTCTCTGGAGATCTTCAAACCCGCCTGCATGCCGCCCTGTGCTCTGGGTGTCCCTGCTGGAGCAGGGGCTTGGACTAGATGATCTCTAGAGGTCCCTTCCAACCTCAACTAGTCTGGGATTCTGTGATTCTAGCTGACATTACGGTATGCACTACTTAAAAAAAAAAATCTTACCTCAAATAACAAACTTGGAATAAGAGGGCATATGTATTAGATAACCTGAAGTAAAGTTTTATTAGTCTGATACTTTTCCAGTCAAAATATTGGCTCATAATATGCTATTATGCTAAATTGTTTTCCCCCCTTATAGTTATTATCTTTATTTTTTTTTAATTTTCTCATAATTAATTTCTATAATATTAACATAGTACTTTATAAAAATATTTCAAACAGTGCCACCTTGTGACCATTCTAACTAAACACTAACCTTTTTGAAGGTCTTGAAATTTTTCTGTCCCCCATAACGGGTGTTTGTGAAGAGGTGACTGTTTGGTCTTGCCTGGCTGACAACCAGTGACCTGAACTCAGTGAGCAGCAGTCTGCTGGGAAGATGGCTGGAGTCATCTTGAAGACTGTTGTGGTTCTTGTGTGGAAAGAAAGAGAGGTTAAATTTTAACAATCTATTGATAAAACAGGACTATTTAATAAAACTCTGTAATAATGAGAAACCTTGACATTGTGATTAACTAGGATTTTGCTTTGACATAAAACTACATGTAAAAAAGCCACATTTTAACTTGCAAGTAWGCCATTATCTAAGAGTTACTTCTCYCTTCCTTCCCTATACCCTGCCTCCTAGTTGGACCAGTGACATGAGGGCTGTTCACTTAACTGGGAACTCCATTTGTCTCCAAGGTAGATGAGGCTGAGTGTCCTCAGGAGAACTCTAGACTAGAGATTTACAGCACTTTGGAAAGCAGCACAGCCTTTCCCCTCCTCGACTGCCCTCCCTACACACCCCTCTATCCTGCCCCGTGTTTCCTGGCTTGTCTCTTCTTGCAAAATTTTCCATTTCAGTTTGTTCCACCTCAGCTTTCCCTCTAACTGTCATTCCCAGCTACACCTGCCTCCTTTCCCAATTCTGGGTCATCTCTCCTCTAACACAGTCAGTCACTATTTGCTGTTAACATGTGCATGTTATACACGTTCTCCCAGCTCTCCACCTCTTCCATTCTAGTTGTGATCTCTTTAGAGCAGACAAGACCACCCCTTCCTTGTCTGGTCTTTAAGTAGTTACCTAACACAAATGCCAGTACCAGTATCAATCACAATGAAGGGGCAAGAAGATTACATTAGGTAGTTACATTCGGTGTATTCAGTCATCTTAACTACCCATAACAGATGGATCAGTACGTGGATGTGGAGATGAACTACAGTTCTCTGTCTTAGCTGGCTAAGAAGTTAGACTGTCCTATTCAAATTTTCAAAGGTTTATTTTAAGAAGTACAATCATTAGATCCCCTGGTATTGTGTTTTTATAATCAGAATTTAGATGTTTATTTGTCAGCACTTCTCCAAGCCATTTAAAGTTACAGCTGGTGTGTTGCTTACCAAGGCTGGCAGCTCTTGCTTGATACCCATTTTCTTTTCAGGAGTTAGAACTGATCCATGTTCCTCTTCTTTCTGTATGACAAAATATTTTTTAAAAAATCTGGAATTAAGTGCAACTGTGACTCCATATTTATATACAATTATTTTCTACTCCTTCCAATAAATTTTAGGATTTTCCATAGCTAAATAGTAACAAAACTGACTGCATTTTGCTTTTAAAATCATATACATTTAGGTACACTGCAGTATTTTCTTTTCCTACCAAAAATAGTTATTCACTCACATGTTTTTATCTTATACCATCAGCAAGAGCTTTGTCCATAGCTACAACTTTCAAGTCCTGCTAGATTTTGAAAAGGCTAGAAAGGCTTCCAAATAGAAACAGTAACATTATCAATTTTGTATGTTAAATGTCCATATGTCCTAAAGGACATTTCTTTACTAGGACAGGAAAGCATTCTGCAAGTGCTTTTCATCCCGTAGTTTAAAACCAAGCTGGTATTTCCTAAATTACTATCAGTGGCTGAAATTATCAGATCAGCTTTAYGAACTCTGTAGATACCACGCTTCTAAATTACTGAGATTGTAATTCATAAGATTCAGATCCAGTTGATTTGCACCTATTTTGACTTGACAGGAAACTTTCCATCTTTTTAGTTTGTATAATATTAAAACCACATTTTTTTCACAAAAGCTTATCAGACTTTTATATATGTGCACTTTAGTGATACTCATTTTTAAGGACATAAAAGAGTCTTAAATTTCCAGACAAAGGGAACTCAAATTATTTATGTGGGAYTCCCAAAGACTCTGTAACTGGAAAGATGTCAGTCACTCCTATAATATCCAACAGAAGAAGCCCTAAGTACAAGGTTATATAAGTAAAAATAATAGTRTAGTTTAAAAATATTTAAAATTATTGGACCAGGGTGTATTCTTAACAAAGAGATAGGGAGGGGAAAAGAAAATACAAGCAACTTTAGTTATTTGCATCCTTCTAATGAAGTTGTAATTTCCAAAGGCCAGGCTGCCTTAGTGAATAACTTACTTGTATTTTACTCTCCTCTCTTGCTGTAGCATTTACTTCTTCAGTTCTGCTTCCTCTTGCTTCCAAACATCTTTTTTTTTGCATATTGCCTTGGGATTTCTGGCCATGACCTCCTGTGTCATCTTTCCAGTCCAGGTCTCTGCTTCCAAACACAATTTCTAGTGCCTCTGTATCTTCAGACAAATCCTCCATCTCCTTTCTCTTCTTTGGTGCCTGCTTTTCRTTATTGTCCATTTTATCATTTGCTGGTTTACCAGCTTCCCTCTTTATACCTGTGTCTTCCAGTGCAAAATCTGCTTTTTTGTGCAGAATGGTATTTTCCTTTTGATGCYGTTCTGCTTTGACACTCCCCACTGATGAAGCCGTGGGCCGAGTCTGCTTGAAAACGGGTGACAAACCTTTCTCCAATTTTGCCAGTTTCGGTACAGACGTTTCTCCTGCTTCTTCAGTTCTTTCTCTTAGCCAAGAGGGAATTACAGAAGAAACAAATTAAAAAAAAAATATTTAAATATGATTAACTGCATTAGCAAAACATTAGCTTCCTGAGGCTTTATTGATTGTATTGCAAACTTCGAACATAAATTATGTTGAGACAAAGATTTGTCTCAAAGATACTGATATTTAAAAAAAAAAAAAAACTTTCAAAAAATAAAGTGCAGCACCACTTTGTATTTCCACATTAGTCAAGTCTATGTTTTTTAAAAAAATGTGTGCCCTTGAGCTAAAAAGAGTTTCTAGAAACAGCACCAGCACAACAGTGAGAAAAGCAGTAACAAGGACATCTCAACGTACCTCTTCCCTCTGGCTACCTGGAAGTAGTCTGTAATTGAGTAGGACTGCTGATGGGAGGCACTCTCTCTAGCTTTAGCCACTTCTGAAAATTTACAGGGTGAAAGAGGCTGACTTTTTTGGCTAAATCCAGATGTTTTGTTCATTCTAGGTGTCAAGGTTCCTGCATTTACATGGCCACTTATATTAGGCTTTTCCTTTACAGTGGTTATATCCTGGAAAGCCGTTTTTCCTTTTCTATCTATCTGGGGAGTTTTTGCTGTCCCCATGCTGTATTAAGAGAAGGAAAAGAAAACAAACAAACAAACAAACAAAAAGTTACCACAGATTTGCAATATCATTCTCTTGAAGCTGTGCTTGTTCTTTCAGCATACTTATAAAGAATATCAACTGTAAAAGCGATTAGGATAAATTACTGTAATAATCATTAAATGTTTTTAAAATAGTGAATAGAGGTTTGAAAGTCAGATACAGAGTATGTATTTTAACTGAAAGACTCAAAGACCTGTCTGGTACTTTCTGACACCTGCTCAAAATCCATCTGTTCTATCTCAAGCCAGGAATTAGTTTATTGTAGACTATTTCAGACCCTCTACATCATTCCCCACGGCATTAGCATTAGCTTAGAAGCTACTTCTCTTCCTGCTCACCAGGCCGGCTCTTCCAGCTGCGTGTCAGCTACGTACGCTGCGCTCTCCACAGTCGCTGGCACCACGGTTTCATCCACAGCCAAACTCTGGGAAATGGCTGGCCCCAGGACAGCTGCTGCAGAAGCAGCTTTAGATGCAGCTGCAAGATCAACACAAGAAAAAAAGTTAAAATGTTATCATCTGTTTTTTTTTTTCCATCTTGTTTTTTTTTGGTACGTGTTATTGCGTTACCACCATCGGTAACTTAACAAGGGAATTTTTATTAAAGTGGTCTGCAAGCAATTTATTTCTTAATCATGAAATCATGCAGATACGGTCATCAAAATCAAGGAGAAATGTGCTAAATGAGAGGATTTGGGGATTCATTTTTAAATAAAAATGCACTAAGCTAAGTTATGATATTTTACTGGTTTAAAATGAAGGATCAGTGGAATTTATATAGTAGTAAGGACTTAAGTAGAGGGAAAAAAAAGAAGAAAAAAAAAAAGAAAAACCACAAAAAAGCACAAGATCCAGCACCGTCTGCATTTAGTGTTTCACAGCAATCTCTAATATGTGTCAGTTATAACTGGGATTATTCCTAATAGTACAGAAACATTATTTCATATTTTAAGGGGGAAAAAAGAGAGAGAGAGAGAGAGAGAGAGAGAGAGAATGATTGATTTAGAATAAGCTGCCCTCTACATCCCAGTTGCTCCCAGCCACCAAAGTGAGGGAATGCCTTAGAGTGCTTTTCTGCTGCTTTCTGCTTAGTCATTGCCCTGTGTTGTGTTATTGCTCTGTAGAAGAGGAAGAGACTCCCTGGCTTTGATACTGTGTTTAACCTTCTCCTGGCCTCCCTGCAATCATGTCCTCTTTACATCAAAGGATACTGACAGTGTAGTAAATTCTGAGCATTTCTATGATGATTTGACTATATTTATAATCCATTACTTATACATTTCTAGMATCTGTTCTTATTTGCTAACCCTGCATGCTGAATGAACTAAAGACTCTCTTAGATTTCCTTCCTGGGCTCCTACATCTTACATTTCAGTGTATCTTACTGCAAAGTCATTAAAGAATAGTTACTTTGTCAATTACATTTAACACTTGCACAACTATTTCATACAGTGTCATTCTACTTTAGTGGTCTTTTTTAAAAAAGGAAAAAAAAAAGAAAAAAAAAGAGTCAGGGAATAAATAAATAAATAAATAAATAAATAAATAAATAAATAAATGAATAAGGAAAGAATTGCATGGTTGTAGAAACACTGCCTGTTCCAGGCTGTTAATGTTATAGTTCTCTTCCTCCAATTACCTTTGTCCCCAGGCTGCTTTCGAGGGTTGCAGTACCTTTCTGTAGACATGAAGAGAACTGCCAGTCCGATTTCCGCCTCGGGAATAGCCCTTAGGTCCTTGCTATCAACACACAAATAATGTTAAGACAAAGCACTAAAACAAATGCTTCTCAGTAGAGCTTCAAAGATTAAGTAGCAAACACRAGTACAGATAGGAGGGGAGCATTTTGTACTGTGCCCTTCTCCGTGCAAAACCACCAGTCTACACTACGTTTTTCCACAACACAGTAGGACAGCCTCATTATCCACCCACCATCTCGTGGCCCTCAATACAAACGCCCGTGTTTCCTGCTGCTGCTGCTGCTGCCGCCTCATGTCTGCATCATTCTCTGCTTGATCCCAGAACTGGGCATTTAGCTACCTACAGTGTTCTGTTAATTCCAAATGGTACCCAACTACAGCAGGGACGTGAACGATTCAACTCCTTCTGACGAGACAGATCTCAACACAAACAGCCCTCTTTGCACCACAGCCAAGAGAACAGCGTGAGCACAGGCGGGCTCTCTCCTCTGTCCTGCATTTTACAGGCAATTCAGGGGAACTGGACCGTGTTTCCTACTGSGTTTACAAAGTTGGCTTTTTGGTTTCTTTCGCAATATATTATTCTACATGGTAGTATTTTTAAGATGCCTGTTCTCTCATTCAAAATCGGCACAGATAATCTAGCACTTCAGAATATTTTCATTTTAACTTAAATAAAAACACAAGCATAAAGCAGTCAAATCCTTTCTTTCTTGTTCAAAAAAATACTACATTACTACATTATATAAGTACTTAAAGCAATGATTAAMATRCCTTCTTTCTAGGTATTCTACACTGTAAGAATGCAAACTGGACAGACTGGASRACTGGGCGGTGAGAAACCTCATGAGGTTCAACAGGGGCAAGTGCAGGGTCCTGCACYTGGGGAGGAATAACCCTGGACACCAGTACAGATTAGGGGTGGACCTGCTGGAGAGCAGCCCCGCAGAGAGGGACCTGGGTGTCATGGTGGACGACAAGTTGACCATGAGRCAGCAGTGTGCCCTGGTGGCCAAGAAGGCCAACGGGATCCTGGGGTGCATTAAGAAAAGCGTCTCCAGCAGGTCGAGGGAAGTGATCATCCCCCTCTACTCAGCCCTGGTGAGGCCACATCTGGAGTACTGCGTCCAGTTCTGGGCTCCCCAGGACAAGAGGGATGTGGAGCTGCTGGAGAGAGTCCAGCGCAGGGCTACCAGGATGATCAGAGGCCTGGAACATCTGCCATATGAACAAAGGCTGAGAGAGCTGGGYCTGTTCAGCCTGGAGAAGAGGAGGCTGAGGGGGAACCTGATGAGCGTGTATAAATACCTCAAGAGAGGGAGGGAGGAGGAGGGGGGCGGCCTCTTTTCAGTGGTGGACAGCAATAGAACTAGAGGAAATGGCTTCAAACTGAAGCACCAAAAGTTCCACAGGAACTTAAGGAAGCATTTCTTCACTGTGAGGGTGACAAAGCACTGGAACAGGCTGCCCAGAGAGGTTGTGGAGTCTCCTTCTTTGGAGATCTTTAAAACCCGCTTGGATGCAGCCCTGTGCCACGTGCTCTAGGTGACCCTGCGTGAGCAGGGGGGTTGGACTCGATGACCTCCGAGGTCCCTTCCAACCTTCGGCATTCTGTGATTCTATGATTCTATGAAACACCATGACTAACCACGACACAAAATCCAAAGTTACCCTATTGCAGTAAGAGAGAGCAGTGCTTCACCTGTGCAGAAGGGTCAGAATGGAATCAGTCCAGTTTCTCACAGACTCAGAWACTGGGATCTGTGAGTTTGTCAGGCCAATATCAACAACACAAATGTTAGGATCAACCAGGAAAGAAGTTTCTTTTTTTCCCTCTGTCATCAATTTYGCTTCTCCTCCTCCCAGAATGACTGCTGGACTCAGTTTCTTGTGCTAAAGAGAATGCAAAAAAAGATAAATAAAATGTAAAAAGATAAATATATGKAAAAAAATGCATCTCGATGCCAGGAAAGAGTATGAATCCACAGACTACAATRCTTCCAGAATGAAAAGCCCTATTACCTGCTTGGCAGTTAGAAAAAGGAAAGTTTTTCCACTGAATATCTTTTTCCTTTCATGATGCTCAGATAGATCCAGTTTTTCTGTACCAATGGAAGGCTCATCAACTGGGGGATAAAAGCTGCAGGAAGAAAAAATCAGAGTTATGAAATTCAGATTTAGACATCAATACTAATATTCCTTTCTATTTAATGGGAAAGCTTTAAAAGTAAAATAATGTACTTGTTTCAATTAAAATGATTTATATAAATATTATTCAAGAGGTTGAAAAAGACAACAAAGTCTCTCATTTCACAGGATCTAAGACCTAAGATCTAAGGAGCCCAACACTTTCAGGAACGTGTTCAGATTATTTACATTAAGCAACTATAGTACATTATGAACTAACAATATTAAAGTTTAATGGAATCTCCATATTAATGGAGTCTCCTTCTCTGGAGGTCTTCAAAATCCATCTGGATGCTACCYTGTGCCCCGTGCTCTGGGTGTCCCTGTTTGAGCAGGGGAATTGGACTAGATGGATCTCTAGAGATCCATTCCAACCTCAACCATTCTGTGATTCTGTAACCATATTGATGAATGAGACTGCAATCTCATTTTGCACCTACGCTGGCTAAGAGCAATCTCCAAACAAAAATGGTTCCTCTGTCCTTTAGGTGGAGACTGCCATCCCTGCTAGAGATACATTTCAAATCTGTCTTTCTGAATTTCAGCCGCAACCGTTAGACGGCCATCTTGCTTTTTCCTTTTTTTTTTTTTTTTTTTTTTCTCTCCCCAAGCAATCTTTATTTACTTCTGAAACTTTCGTCCAGTCCTGATTTAAGCTCGAAGGGGATATACTCTTTCCATCCTGTGATTCTCAAACTCTCTTTCCTACTTTCCCCAAAAGCCCTGAATACAGCACCACCACTACAAGTAGTGCTCAATTCCTCTGAGAGTCTTAATAGTTAAGAAAAATGCTAGAGACACATAGCTATCAAATTCTGTTTTAGGGGGCACTCAACAGTTGAATTAAACTGTCTGCTCTCTGGAGTTCAATATTTTAGGAATGGACAGTGCACAGCCCGTTTTCAAGGGCTAAGCAGTGTCAACACAGAGTAACAGCAGCCCCACAGAGAGGCACCACTAAGACAAGGTAATCTTGAGTCCCACAACCAGTGGTTGGCTTTTGGTGGCTTTCAATGGCTGTAACATAAATAATCAATCTGACATCACTGATGTCCAGAGACAGGAACTCTCAGTAGTTTCTCTTTAGTTTTCTCACAYGCTTTCAAAAACAATGCAGAAGCTTAAGCAGAAGGGAAAATGCAATTTACCAAGTTTCTGCCTTTCTTTTSTGAAGTGGAAAACAAATGAGTTTTATAGATGAAAAACTCTCGAGATGGCCAGTCTGATACACTGAATAAACTTCTGCAATCACAAAACACCATCTAGAAACTGAAAGACTATTTGCCACCACTTGCTCCAGACTGGCGCCTGTACTGTTCCAACAAGGCACTGTTATATTCTGTGAAATACATTTAATACCTAACAGCTACAAGTTTCCTGAATGCTCTACAGCACCGTTCCCTCCACCCTGGGGGCACCACTGAGGTTTGGTTAGCTGCCCTTTCCCTGCTCCTTTAAACCACTCTACCAGACCCATTCAGCAATGTGTATAATGTGTGTGTGTGTGTGTGTGTGTGTATATATATAAATATACACATGCACATAAATTTAAAAGCAACAAAAGTTATTTCTACCTCACCGTTCATTTCACCTACCTTAAAGATCTGGTATCCACTCAATTAAAACAATTCATCCAGAAAAATCCTAATGTGTTTAATGCATTTCAAATAACCTGACTTCACAAATTATTCTCCCTATTAACTAAGATAAGGGCTCAACACCTGCTGTTTTCCAAATGACAAGTACTATTTCGGCTTGCCTTCATTGTCTTATTTTTTTAATGTCTTTGAAAGCATAAAAGGAATAGAAATTAGTAAAGAACAGGTACCTGTGGAATTTACTTTTTTGAAAGAATACATGATGAGAATTTCTTACCTGCATAAATTATATGTTCACACAAATAAAGTAGACAGTCTCCCTCTTCATGATAAAAATGGCTGCATTACAGACTCAGGTGRAACTCTCTCATAGAATAACAGGATTATTTAGACTTGTCTACATGGAAAAAGTGACCAGAAGGGCTATTCTGCAATATTTATTTATTCCAATGTAAGAGTTACATRTTAATTTAATCTCTAAAACTGTATTATATATGTTTTCATACTGAAATAAGCTTTTATTTTATAAAAATTTCCTTTAAAATTTTCCTTTGTAAAAATGGTTTTAATGTATCTACTCTCAAAAGAATATAAAGGTTGTTTCAAGCATATTACCACACAGATTGTGAGAGCAACCTCTGGCAACAAATTCCAATGCAGAGGTAGTAACATATATGTATAATAAATATCAAGAGTTAACATATATGTGTGTGAGAGAAAGGGAGGGAGAGGCAGATGTTTATAAACATAAAGTCTAGAGATGAAAGCAGGACTTTAAGAATATTAAAACTTGTTTCATATTAAGCATTTCTATGCAATCCAAATTACTGCAATTCATACTGTTTGTCAAAGTTGAGCAGATAAATGCATACTTATTTGGTAATTTAATTCTCATAAATTTTATTCTGTGACACTGAAAATATGATACTTACCTTTCAGGAGCTGGCAAATGTTGTCTGGACTGAATGGCTTTGATTAATTCAACAAAAAACTCTGGTTTTATAATCGGTCGACCACAAATCAAAGCACATATAGTCTGAAAAGATAGAAAATRAACTTATTGCACTGAAAAGCTCACCTAGAATATGCTTCAACTAACATTAGTTTTGTAAGATCTCAAATGTGAAAAATGTTGCACAAACGAACACAACTTTGACTTTGTTGTTGAGAAAAGTGTTAATTTTGTTTTTAACAACCTGTTCTTTTTATTGTTTGTTAGTTTCTGCCTTCCTCCAGACGAGCTCTCTCATCCCAGCCTCTGTGTGGGTGCCTGGAAGGCCTGGCTGGCACAGGACGGGCAGCACAAGCMCATGGGAACAGATCCTCCCCTTCCAATGATGCCCCCAGTTCTCATACCCGAGCGCTCCGGAGCTGAACTGGYAGACACTCAACAGAACATAAGGACAGACTGGCCAATAAAAATGAGGATCAACTTTTTTTTGTTATTATTAATATACTGGCTTTTCCGCAATACTGTGCGGGGAGGAAAGGCAAGGTTTTGAGAATGTAAATTTCATTTCCTTTAGTAAGTCTTCAAAAAAAAATTTCTTCTCCTTTTTGGTTTTAYTTGATTTAAAAATGACATTTTGGTTTGAAACAGAGATGCAGGTTTATCCTTCTCCATTCCCTCCCTACTCCTTCCTTTATTTTAAAAAGCTTTATTGATTTTCTCTCCAACCTTTCATCAACTTACAACTCTTTCTAAACTTGGAAAAAAAAAAAAGAATAGCATTTTACTGCTTTGCAAAGGAAAAAAATGTACAGCTAAATGCAAATGCATCTTCCCCACAGTCTTGAGCAGGCCTAGAACTTAATTAACACTCCCATTTGTAGGAAAGCAGCAAAACAAATCGATCAATATTCAGAAGCTCAACTTACCTTAACTGTAACTTTTACTGACACCATAACAAGGTGAGTACACTTGGTGGTCCATTCATTCACTACAAGGCCTCCCAGCTGTTGGATGGCTTCATTCAGAGCAGTTTTTTCAGCAACATCCAAACATGAGGAACAGACAACTAAGGATTCATATTCTACTCTGCAAGGAAYAAACATAAGGAAAATGTTTTTGTTGTTTCAGTGAAGAACTGTGAAAAACAGAGATGACTGTTAACTTAYGTTTGTCTCACGACAGCTCCATACATCTTACATGGATCAAGRATACAAGGATCAGGATTTTAAATTAACTGAGGAATGCAAATATTACTTTTTATTCAGAAAAATTAAATAGTATGTTGATTTGATGCCTAAAATGTTTCTGAGACTACGCTTTGGTTTCAAGAAAGATGCAGACCTCTCATGGCACRAGTGCCTCCGGTATGCTGCTATGTTTAAAAGAGGAGTTTGTAAAGTAAATGAATTAACACTTTAGAAACAAAAGTTTTRAAGAATTCAAGTAATTTTTGACGGCCTTTACTCTTTACCATATGCCTATTTACATTTGCAGATGTAAATGGAATTCCACATGGAATTACAGCATACCAAGTTCCAAGATTTGGTTTAGCTTAGTTGATAAAGCAAGAGATTATAATCAGTTTTCAGGTGCTAAAGCCACAATGCATTTAGCTTTGTGACATGAGATCCTGTACATTTCAGGGATGTTTATATAAAACAGCCAAAGCAAACTAGTATAAGAAGTGGTGAAAAACMTTTTTTTTCATTAAATAATAGAAGTACCAATAAAGCAGTTAGCTTTTAAGAAAAAAAGGCCAAATTTGGGTTGCTTTAATACATATTGTAGAGATCTTTAGTCAACATGCAATTTATCTGCCACTTTACCTGAAGGAGAGCTGCTATACTTGCAAGGATTTGCTCATTTGCGTATTAAATTTGAAAATAGTAGATTTTGTTCATTAAGGAAGAAGCAGGCATATGTCACGGTGATAGCACTTGATGGCTAAAGCACTCTCCAACTGTCTTCTTTCTAATTACATTATCAACAGCTATAAGGAACTCAACAAATCTCTCTCTCCTAAACTTGCCCCTCTTCTTCAGAGCAATTTGTTTTAGAATTATTTTTCTTTAACTAGAGCTTTAACTGAGCTCTTCTTTCTTTAGGATAGTCTGATGACACGCAATGTACATGGTGCAACATCTTCGAAAAAGCCAATGTCAGAAGTAGGTGCAGAACATCAGTAAATAATAATTCTATCTCCTTTGCTTTCTAAAAACTTGCAGTTTTAATGTTAAAAGAAGAAAAAAACAATGAAAAGTTAAGTGATGTGCTAAAATACTCCTATTGAAAACTGTAAYCATCTAACCAGCATTTTAGTATCAATGTAACCAGCTCTTACCTAAACTTGCTCTCAAACACTCCAAAATTGACTCTGTCACCAGACTGCAAAGTCCTTGAAGCACCATCCAGTTTTGTTCCATTAACAAAAGTACCATATTTGGAGGTATCTTTTATCGTTAATACAGGGCCTGAGAGAGACTGGCTCTGAAAATAAGCATAAATAAGCCTTGTTAGTTAACTGGAAACAATTTTCTGTTATTAGATAACAAAGTAGTAGGAAAAAGCCTATAAGATATTTTCCAAAGTAAAGATCCTTGGAAAATGATGCTGGATGTACATCTTTYTTTTTCCTATTGCACAGCAGGGAAGGAAAATGCATAAGTTTCCAGCTTCTGACCTTTAATACTTCTTACATCCAGTATTTTTGGAGGTTTTGCAATGCTACCCCAGAGCTTCTGCAACCACAACCTAGCAGGGCTCTGAGATTTATTTTTGATGCTTTTACCTGTCATTTAGCCCTGGCATAGCCTGAGTCACTTGGCACCTATGGCATGTAATAAGTGACACCTTATTTCCTCCTACAAGCACCGCTGGTCTTCTGCAAGCTGCAGAGGCTGGTGACACCAGCATTTCTTGAGAGCAGGTGAGACACTGTCTTGGTCAGACATCAGTTCACAAGCAGTGAGGACAGTCAGCTCGCTTCTAGGAAATTCTGCTACACAGTTATCCGCTATGTTATTAACACGGACAAATACATTTTAAGTATTTTCTTTCAAATGTTATGCATCATTACAAAAATGAAACTTTGAGCCGTTTTTAAACGTCAGTAAAGATTAGAATATGTAAGTGATAGTAAGGTGCTGCTTGCTGAACCTTCTTGGGAATAACACATTTCCACAATTCCCTAGGCAAATATTCAGGTAATGATGCAGAGTTAAACATGACCTCAAAAAGGCACAATTGGAATTGAATCTGGCACGGGATGTTAAGAATAACAAGAAAAACTTCTTCAAATATATCAATAACAAAAGGAAGGTCAGGGAGAACGTGGGTCCACTAGTGAATGGGGTGGGTACCCTGGTCACGAAAAACACGGACAAAGCAGAGCTGCTGAATGCTGCCTTTGTTTCTGTGTTTGTCAGGGGCAGCCCTCTAGAATCCCAGGCCCTAGGGACACAC